CTATTTATTTTGAAGTACCTAACATTAAAATTTTTTTGACGACTTTCTTCGTTTTCGAACACATTTCCGAAATACTTTCAGTTAATACTGGCTTGAAAAAAATATTAATTTTATTATCAAAGAAAATTGGTCCTAGGCTATTCGGATAACATTTCCCTCGCCCTTGAAGCACAATCAAACAAATCCAGTTTCTTTATTACATAATTTTATTTTGCGATTTTTTGTATCCCCTATATGTTAAGCCCCTGGGTCGTAGGAGCGCAAATTTCAAGGGGACGCCGCACAAGTACGGACAGCGGAAAATATATTTAAAGCAGATAACCAACGGGAAAAAATGACCTCTCGGCAATAATAACATTAATAACAAGCTTAACTTCAAGTGTTTGTACATCGAAAGAATGTGACGTAGAAATTGGTTTGATTTGAATGACTTTATCTGCTCAAAACAGAGGACTAAAATTATTAATTGGGCCACAATCGAACAAAATGTTCTGAATATTATACTTCTTATTTTATCATTATTAAAAAAAATGTTATGACCTCATCAATATAGCTAATACACAGCGCAACAGAGAAAAACAAGTGGCATTAAACGTGCTACCTGCCGGTCGGCGTGTGTAAACTACAGTGGCGGCTGGTGGGTCAAAATTTCGGGTCGGCCAAATATTTTGAGTCTACACCTTGGTGTTATATATTTTCGTAATGTATGGCTGCTACTCATTAACCACTGACATTTTACGTGCCAGGATGTACAAAACATCTCAAATGTTTCGACCTGTTAAAATAATTTTTTATAGGAAATTGACAATGTCAGTTTGATTCCAAATACTATTAATCCTTAATTCTACTTGTTCTGCTTTATCATTAATTGAGAACCACCGAAAACATTATTTTTACTGAGTTCCGCGTCGACCGGCGGCTATACGGCTTGCCGACCCCGGACATCCACAATTAAATAATAATAATTAAATAATGACATGCAGTTAAAAAATATAAAAAAAGTAATAATAAAAGTACCAACTGTTAACTATCTTCATTTACATTTATTTATTTTTAATGTATATGACAAATTGTCAAATAAATTAATTGAATAATTGAAAAATTAAAATGATTTAAAACTTTAAATTCGTTTCTGAAATATCTGAAAACGCTTAGATGCTAAAAATACAGAAAAAGCGCATTTATGTTGTAGCTAAGTTATGTACGAAAAATAAAATTTTAGATAATTTAATGTAATTTTTTTCGTTTATTATTCATACACAGAAAAATGTATTAAATCGACAATTATTATTTAAAAAAAAATAGTATGCACTGAAGAACATCGAAGCCGTTATTGTTTTGTAATTTGGTTAGCTATCTTAAATATTAAGCGTTTTAAAAACTAAATTCGCGTTGCTGGGTACGGCGAAGGAGTATTTCGCCGGACCTGGCACAACATACGTTCCGCCAGGTCTTTGTCTACTACAGTGTACTAGACAAAGAGAACGATGAAACCGTAAGCTGCTACGAAGTCGAAACATCGAGCATAATGCATTCCTGGGTACGGCTTGCCGAAATCTCGCCGGCAAAGCGTGTTCATCAGCATTTAAAATTAGCAACAAATGCTTTATTTTGTACCTACAATATAATAAAATATATTTTTAATATATATGATCTATCCTAACGTACATTCAAACTTTATTTCTTTTTTTATTTTCTAATTTCAACGCTTACTAAGTATTTTAAAATGACTGGTACGGCGTGGCCGACCCTGCCGCCCCTGACCAGCCGCCCCTGGTAAACTAGTAGGTCACGGACGTTGATTTGCTAATAGTGGCAAAATGTTATTATGAGTGCAAATTTTCTTGTGAACATTTGGCGGTTTAACGAAAGAACTCAAAACGGATTCGCACACCATAAATATAGGAATATATTACTGTATAATATATAAATCATTTTAAGATAAACTTCTTTGAAATGACGTCATCAAATTGTTGCTTGGGATCATTAGACAAATTTTGGTAATGTTTTACCATCAATATGATATGATACTCCAATTATAATACAAAATTTGGCAATAATCGGTCCAGTAGTTTCGGAGATTATGTGTCTAATATAAATCAACACAGGAGACAGACAGACATGAAACTGGCAAGTCGACCGATGGACTCGATTACTTTTTTCTTCCTTAGCTTGTGCTTATTATAGATGTTATCTAAAGAAGCATGCTACGCGTGTGTTTCAAATAAGTTTTCCTTAATAGAATTTTGTGATGACGTGTTCAACCCTATTATATAAATAAGTATGACATCAAAACACGTGACCTCCTCTGGTGTCGTTGGAAACGTAATAGTTGCGTGTTGTCCATTGCGTCATAGTGATGGTGGTTTTGATATTTGACAGTAGACAGCGCTTTAGAGATTGTATATTTTGACAACGGATGGCGTTTTAGAGATTTTGAATTGTGGGTGTTGGTGATTCGGTTTAGAGGTTTTGGGTGATGACTTAACAAACCGTGTTCTTCAACTCGACAACGTCGATAGAGGCGATTTCAAATGCAAACTTTTGTAGGACGCCAAATAAAGCTACACTTAACTAACTCTGACAGTGTATCCAGAATCGTTAAACTCCACAAACTCAAACAATCACTCAACATTCTGACATTACACTGGTCTTTTCTATGATTTTTTCTTTAGAATTTTGCACAACGTCCTGGTATTAGTCAATAAAATCTTGCTTCAAAAATGTTTCAAGCTGCCCTGAACGACGGGTCACAACTGCTCGTCTTCGATCCTATGGATAAGTTACTTCTAGGAGCTGTGTTTTTTTTTTTTTGAAAGATAGAGTGGCAAATTTCTGAAAACTGGACTCAGCTCCATATTTCAATATGAGGAACCTTGATCAAAGTTTCGTTTCTTTCCCATCTTTTCCTCTATGTGACTGGTCAATAATAATATTGTCTGAAGTGAAATGTTTATTGCACACAGCAGCCGATGATCCTAGAATCCACTGTTGTCTTGGAATCAAACGAAACCAAGCTTCTCTGGACCAAGACATCTTTAGGAAAACCAAAAGTTGAAACAAAGCATTTCGTTTAAGGTCCAGTTCTTGTATTTACTCTTCAACATTTTAAAACATTCACTTTTGTAATAAACATTTTTTTTCCATAAACCTAATAAGATACAAAATATGAATGGATTAATAAACCACAAGTACAGATACATGTTATTTTATCAAAATTAACATGATTTACTTCGCACTCCTCTGAGATGACGTCATCTGAAGGATGGTCGGGATAATGAGACAAATTTTAGTTAGCGTTTTACCATAAAAACGATATTCAGTGTCCACGTAAAGCTTATTTAATCTAATCAAATCGCCAATGGATGACAGACAGACCAAAGACCGACGGAAACGTGATAATTAATTTTTCCCATTATAGAAACTGTGAAGCTTTGAAAAATCAGAATACTTCTCTAAACCAGGAAGTAAAAAGAAGGAAACAACAATAAATTTAACAATAATTTGAAAAGTATGTAAAATGGAGAACATCTCATTAAAAACAGAAAAATCACAATTTGCACATTCAAACCAGACAACTGTTATACCTCTTGCATATGATTTTTTTTTTCAAAAATTTTTCAAATTGCACCACGTAGCAGACAGGAAATCGAGAGACCTACGTTTTCATAGTATAGGGGTTGTGGAACGTCGAGAAATTATTAATTTAACCATTCACCAAATGGACTCTATTAAATTCAACCCAAGCTTAGACTCGAAAAGTAATGAAAGTGATGGCAGCCAATTACGGAATTAACTCCCAAATATATTCTTCTAATTTTAGAGTTCTAAATCACTATGAAATCAACCAATGAACCTTGAAATGGGACTGCACTTCTGTGTACAATTTTATAGATTGTAACACATTAGCTAGTGTAGCACAGATTTACTTTTTATAGACTGCTAGGTACTTGAAAACCATCATAGTTTAAGTTTACTCGGTAAGGTTTCGCTCAGCGAACCTCCCCTGGGTGCTATTTGGAACTCAAACTCCCATATTTCCTTCGATAAAAATGCTAACATCACGATTCATGGCCGGGGACAATGTTTATTGTAAAAACACTTCTAGGACATTTTTTTAGAATTTTAAGAATTACTTGAAATTTAATGTAATATATTTTTTACTATGCAAACTGTTGAAATGAAGCATTATATTTTAATCACCCCCATGTTTAATATTTAATAGCGAATAGAGCGCTTTTGACGTGCAAGAACATTTTTCAATTCGTATTACTAAAGGTTTATTTCTTGGCATGGTTTTTGGCAGAAAAAGTAAAAACAAAACGCTTTTTGAGCAAAAAAATTAACCGAATTTTTTTTTTTCATTGTGTTAAAGGAGAACTTAATTTTTGTTTTACTGTAGCTAGAAATATTAACCTAAAATGACAAATTAATCACAGTGACACTTTTATATTAAAGCATACTATTATTGGACTAGCTTTAACAGATTTCCTACCTCAAAGGACTTCCTAGGAGTAACGACTTTATTTTGAACAAAGTTTTCTATATAACTTTCAGCAACTACTGATAACTTCCATCCTCCTTTTTCTTTTATGGTAACTGCCTTGTCACCAATCCACTAAAATCAGATTGCTTCATCGCTTTTATCTATTTTTTTTTTTAATACAAATGTATGATTTTCAACAACTAAACCAACATAAAGTTGGTCAACTTGGTGATAAATCACGTACGTTACTAAACACTAAATACACAGAATTTTTTCATCTTAAATATTTTTTTTATATTTTTTTTATTTCTTACCTTAACAGAGCAGAAAAGTGGTGTATGTGACACTTGTTGAAAGCCTTTTGTTGAACTAAAACAGCTACAGTCTATCGTTTTTGTTCAAGAAAGGTCTCTTTTAACACTTAATATACGTGTAACTACTGCGCCGTCCTGTACTAGAAAAACAAAGCTTCTTTCTACATTGTTTTAGTTTTAATTTTTTTTTCGTTTTTCAGGTAACCGAGGATTCGAAGCTCCTTACGCTGTTTTAGTGTTTGTTCACGGAGAAAGCTTCGAGTGGGGTGGAGGCCACCCCTACGACGGAAGCGTGCTGGCTTCCTACGGACACGTCATTGTGGTTACCCTAAATTTTCGTCTTGGCATTCTTGGTAAGTTTGAAGGAGAATAATGAAGTGTGCTATTTTCTTAGCAAGTATTTAAAGCCAAACCTAGAGAGAACTTAGTCCGTAATAAAGCAGATTTCCACCATTCATATTAATGTGGAAGCGGAAGCTTCCACAACGTGTGTGCGTTTTAAATCTAATTAAAAGCCAAAAATTCGAAACGCTTCAAAATCAGAACATTCCCAAGATTCCATAACCGGCTGGCTTCATTAAGCTGCAAATTAAAACACAATCTACTCGACTGCGTAAACAAACTATGAGTTTCTGATATCTCGGGAATCGGTAGAATTGCCAGACTCCATAATGCCGTGTGTGCTTAAAACATTAGAACTGTTCCTGGAATTAAGTTCCTTAATATGATTTATGCTTTGGGTAATTCGATGAGCGAGAAAGACAATCCTTACAGCAAATAAGTAAACTGAGATCGCCTGTCTGAGCGCATGTTTTCCAACTCTGCTCCGGAATGTTTTCAGCACAACGCTGAAAGTAATCGTGCGCTCAAAAGAATAAAATCGAAAATTTAATATTTCACTAAAACCCTCTCGCTAGATATCGTTTCGTATAAGGATCTTATTATTTTTTCACAGTTTGCTAGTGCGGTTAGATAAATTAAATCCATTCCATGCATTACAAATCATATAAAGTGCTACGAGCAAATAACAGACGATTTGTAAAATCCGTACTACATCTTTTACGTCAATCACAATGTGGGCGTCCCGCAAATTTTCACTATTTTGCTCTTTGAAAATATGCAACCAACGAATCCTTTCAATATTCCAATCACGAATTAAATTTGCATTATTGCGAAGAGGTTTTCTTTGTTACTCTGAAGCATTTTCTTTTTCTCATATTATCCTAAAATATTAATTTCTTATTTTTGTTTCTATAATTCTCTTATTTAAATGTATTTTCATATTTGGCGATCATTTATCTTCCCACACAATCCATTTTTCCATTAGCATAGTTTGTGATCTGTACAATCAATCAAATTTTGCCTAAATTAGACACTTACTTCTCCTGCGACTGTTGGGCCAGTCATATATTTGCTTTTTTTTTTGTTCCAAATAACATTAACTTATATACCGTTATCACTCTTATTTATTTTTTTTTACTTATAATTCCGCCTTTTCCTTTATTTTAGCTGCAAACGATTACAAAGGCAAAACGAGTCGACTACAACGAATTTGTTGACAGATTCACAAGCTCTTTGAATGAGATCCTCTATTTATGCTAATTTTTTAAAATCTTTTTGTGAGTAACGATGAAATAGTTAAATAAATACAAGTCAAGCCGAACTAATCATAATTAAATTATATCTACGGTAAAATAGGTCAAATGCACGATAATTTATATGAAACTTATTAACTAATAACTGTATTATAAATTTTTCAACTTCTAATTCAGATTCGGGGATTCATTACTTACTAATCCCAGATTTGCAGTTTTGCAGAGAAAAGCTTTTCTACGTTTGAGGACGACCTTTATATTAGCTGGGCTAACAAATCGACCACTGTCTCGAGGATTCGGCGTCACAACGAATCCAGAATTCACGAAAAAAGGGAGTTTGCCAAGTTTGAGCAACATTTGTTTTATAGAAGAAAAGGCAAAACAATACTTCAAACATGCTGGCATACAAATTAATATTATGGCTAGTTTCTGCTTTCTGTAACAAACATTGATCTAAGGTTATTTAAACAGAACTTCTCTCTTTCTCCTGAAGTACAGTCGAAGAACTCTTCAAAAATCATAAAATTTAATTTTGCGAATTTTAATTGTTTATGATAACCCTTTTCAGTTAAAACACAAATATGTGTGGACTGCTATAAAGTCCAGGTAAAGAATCATTCTATACGTATGTTTCAAGTGAGTTTTCAATTAACAAGATCTTAAAATAACATCATCAACATTTTAGCAAGGGCAAGTTAGGTAGATCAAGTTAAATTGGTACAGTGTAATACCAGCAGGGAATTTATTAACGAAACATTGACGTACGTCATTAATAATTGTGGAGTATTTCTTGATATTTTGAAACATAGTAATATCACCCTCATATAGAAAAAAAAGGTGAAGTAAATTTACCATCAAATTATAAGCTCAATGCAGTATTGTCGTTCATTTAAAAAATTTAGTGAAAAACTCAACGTTGTTATAATACAAATGTTATTGTAATTCTTTAACATATTAAAAAGCCGAGAATGCAAGTATTGATTTGTTGTAGATGTATTATACTGAAAATTGAAAAGTTAAGCATGATCTTAAACCTGGACGTGGAATGTTAGAGTTAATTTGACATAATAGATTTCGACAATCTAAATACCGTGTATCAATTTATATTCAAATATTTGAGCTGCATAAATTCATCTAGGTGCTAAGAAAGACTCATTATTGAACTCATGTAATAGTTACTCGTGAGGGTAATTGTGACACGGGTAAATGCGGTGTTTAATAAAATACAGATATTTCAGAAATTTATCATAATCATAATCATTTATTGTCCTACATATCTCTCCAATTATACAGGACAAAAACTAAACCTAAATCTAAAATTAATATAAAATCTAGAAAAAGGTAAACTAAATCTAAATTAGATAAATAATTTAAATCATATTACAATAATTGTAACCATATTATTCTCAAATATTTGTAAATTAAAATTATATCCAATCTACTTTATAATACACCACAAAAGATTACCCTGCTTTTATGAATTATTGCATTAACATTTTCTACATATACAGGGTTTCTATAAATGATTATAGGGTCGAAATGGGTCATGGATGTGTGCCGCCTATCACTTTATGCGAATGTTCCTAAATGCCCAAGGGTTCATGACAGATACCAGACGCATCTGTGTATCTGGTTGCCTAAATTCTTTATATCTTAAAAAAATAAAACTAATTCATTACAACCAAAAGAAAGAAATTTATGGTAGTTAAACGTCGCAGTAAATGTTGAAAATGTTCACCATTTTCTTCAAGGCACATATTCACTCTTTTTTTAATTTCTAAAATTTTCTGTAACAACATTTCGTTAATGCTTTGAACCGATTGCTCAATTTCATGTTGCAACAGGAACTCCTGACTGCTGAGACAATCTTGTCAAAAATGTTTGTAGATTCTGATCGAGTCATCTCAAATCCACAACACCTTCCTCAGATACTGAAGGTTTTTCAAATTTCCCTTTGTAGACACTGCCAGTTCGACACCTCAAATCATCAACAACTTCCTCAGATACTGAAAGGAAGAGATTTCCCTTTGTTGAGATTGCCAGTTCGAACAAATCTGTTGATTACATCTTGTCTAATGTAAGCCGCTAACGAGGTTTCTTGAATTTACAAATCAGGGTATGTAGCCAGATATTCTTGCTTACAAACAGTTGCAGAATGCACCCACTCTCCGTTTACGAATGTCCCATTGCGATAATAAGACATAAGAATGAAGGTCTATCTTGTTCAACAGAATAAACGATTTTCGCGGTCTTCGCTTCCTAGCAATAAAACAAAATTTTCGTACGCAAGCACCACGAGTTTTGAAAACGACGTTAGAACAAGAAAAGCGATGACTTTAACTGACAGGTTTCAAATGACAGTAACGACAAGTGTAAACTGTCATAATGAGGTATAATTTCAACGAAGCCGAATTTTTGAAACTCATGGCCAACTATGCCCTTAGAATCATTTATAAAAGCCCTGTTTATCGCACTGTACACAAAACGCGTTACAATTTTTGGAAATAACACACATCGGGGACTTACATTAGTGCGATATTGGAGTAAATGAAAATGTATTGGATGACGAAAATTTAGACGGGGCACTTAGAAATTAACTTGTTCTAAAGTTGTCATATCATCAATGGCACCATGAATTAATTTATAAAGAAAAACTGTTGACTGCAGGATTCTTCATTGTCTTAAAGATTCCATATTAAAATCATTTAATAATAAGTTTTGATCTATGACGCACAGGATACTGAGAATAGCTCTTATAGTACAAAAAATGTAAGAATCGTCTTTGTATATTCTCCAACAAAGTAAAATGATGAGCATAATGCGGATAAAAGATTAGTGAACAATATTCAAGTTTGGACCGCACAACTGCATAGTTATACATTTCAATTCAAACACAATGTCAAAATATTTACACTTCCGAAATATGAAAGCAAGAACTTGAAGTGCAGAAACAACAATTTCATTGATATGCTCTCGAAAACTAAGTTTGCTGCCGAAAGTTACACCCAAATCTTTAACTGTTTCAAATCGCAATATAACCTTATCATTTACAATATAATCATGGTGAAGTTCTGACTTCTTCTTAGTAAATGATACCACCACACATTTATCCTTGTGCAGAAACAACAATTTCATTGATATGCTCTCGAAAACTAAGTTTGCTGCCGAAAGTTACACCCAAATCTTTAACTGTTTCAAATCGCAATATAACCTTATCATTTACAATATAATCATGGTGAAGTTCTGACTTCTTCTTAGTAAATGATACCACCACACATTTATCCTTGCTTAAGTAAAGCCCATGATGTACTATAGATTAACAAGATGTTCTACATGAGGCACAAATATAATTCAGCATCCACAATAATTCCTAAATCTTTAAACTGTTCACATCTTTCGTGCTCTTTTCCATTTATGGTGTATCTGACAATAACATTCTTTTTTTTTATTCTACCAAAGGACACAACCTACACTTATCCCTATTATACATATCTCCAAGTAGTCACCAAAACACTTCTTATACAAGATATCCAAATCAGATTTAAGGGCAGCCTTTGATAGTGTTTCTCACAAACTGCTTGATAAACTTGAAATATTATGGTATAAGAGGAGTTTGCCTGAATTTATTTCAATCTTTCTTAAGTAATAAAACTTGGCAAGTTTTAGACAGTCAAAAATTAAAAATTATAGGAGTATCTCAAGTGTTCGTGCTAGGGCCTCTTTTGTTTCTCTTATACATCAACGACTTATCTGATAAC